TACCTGGCTGTAAGGCGCCCATTTATCCCACAACCCACTTAACTGACTCATAGAGATTTGTATTATTGGCATAATAAACACCTGGAGAAATCTGAAAAATAACCTGGGGGAGAGTGAACTAAGGAGAAAATGTACTGTACTCCATATAGAGGTGTAGTATGTACTTTTAAAAGCAATTTAAGAATGTTTGGTCTATTTCTATCTTCTTTACCAAAAACCCCCCAAAACTTTCCTTTTGATTTTAGTTACACTTTCTAATAGCTGCATTAAGACTTTTCTTTATTTTTTTTTCTCTCTGGTTGACAATCTGGCTACTAGAGTATCTTCATGGGGAGACTGCATGTGGCTGGTGGCTGTCCCTTCATGTCATCATCTCATATCATAGTTCCTGCTATAATTGTTAAGCTGGTTTCCACCTTCACTGACTTTTAGCTACATATTTTTTCTCTTTTCCTCAGAGTGCTATCCTACCTCCTTAGTGCCCCTTCTCTAAAAAATAAGCCACTATCCTGCCTCTCATTGAGATACCTATTCCTTGGGACCCCAAGAAAATTCATGTTGGATTTTGTTGCTGCTGAAGTTTTACCTCTTACATAACCTATTTATTGTAACCTTAGGATATGTTCAGTGCATGTTGCTTAGTAGAATTTTGAGGCAACAGAAATGTAAACATATTTAAACATAGGGGTGATGATTCTAGGAGGAGAAATGTGGGAGGAGAAATGTGACCAGAACAGAACAGAGATTTCTAGGGGAGAGATGGAGAACATGATTTCCATGATTCCCTAACAAACACAAATACCAGAATGTCTAGGACAAAAGGTAACATGAAGCAAGAGCAGTGTGGATTAAATGTCTGTCATGTAACAAGCATGTGACGAGTACATGTTAATCAGCAATGAGGGAGTTTTTAATGCTTGCCCATAAAGTTTTTGTTTCATGAATATTATTTGTAGAGTGGAGTAAAATAAGACTTTAATTAAACAAGTTTTAAAATTAAAGGAGATGGAATCATTTGAGTGTTTCTGGGGAGGATCGATAGCATTTTAGAAGTCTCAGATCAGTGAAGAAAAGGCTACATTTATTCAAAAGGAGCTTCTAGAAACAGCCAGGTTCTTCTTTGCCTGTGCTACTGACCACACCTATTAGGCTGCCTATCTGCATGAGTCATACAGCCTCTTACACTGCTGGGGAGGGGGTATATTTTGCTCTGAACTCATATTCTGCTTTTTGAAATCATTTAAAATTCTAGGTTTAACTCTAAACAGTCAGAGTCAACTCAGGGAGAATTTTAAATCTAGATTGTGGTAGGCAGCTTCTGACATGGCTCTCAATGGTGCCAGCATCTTGGCATTCACACCCTTGAGTGTGGGCTGGATCTAGGGGCTTGTTTCCAATGAACAGTATATGGCAAAAGTGATGGGTTGTCACTTCTATGATTAGGTTACTAAAGACTCTGACTTTGGTCTTATTAGCGTCCTCTCTCTTGCTGGCACCTTCTTTTGCTCCCTCACTTGCTAAGAAAGCTGCCATGTTGTGAGATGCTCTATGGAGAAGTGTATGTGGCAAAGAATTGAAGGTGGAAGAACTTATGAGAAAAGGAGGCAAGAAGTCAATCCTGCCAGCAACCACTAGTATGTGAGCTAGGGAGTGGATCCTTCCCATTCAAGCCTTGAGAGAGCGGCAGCCTTGTCAGAGACCCAAAGCCAGAGGAGCCAGCTAAGCCACAGCTTGATTCCTGACCCAGAGAAAAGGGGAGGTAATAAATGTTTGTTGTTTTAAGTCACTAAGCATTGGGGTAATTTGTTATGTAGCAACAGATTAACCAGCACTTAGACTTCCTTACAGTTCATATGTGATGGAAAATAATAAATAAACTCCGGGAAGAGTCATTGCTTTGGTTATAAGCATGGTGTAAGCTGGAGGCTGAAAGAAATTCCAAAATGGGAAATGAACTAATTCATAGACTTTAAACACTCTCGTCTCCAATGAAGATGGGAAATCTTAATTCAAGAGTCAAGAAAATAATAAAGGGCTGGTCACATTTAGTGTTGACACCTTTACATTTAAAACGGGTTTATATTTATATATGCAAACCGTTTATTTACTGTGCACCAAATAAAATAAAAATAACTCTTTTCCAAGGTAGGGCTGAAATGAAGCCTTGGGCTATGGCATGAACCACAATACCATAATCACCCAGGTCAGAGCCTGGGGAAAAGATTGCAGTGATCTAGCTTTTCAGGCTTCAGTGATTTGGTCCAGACTTTTAGCAAACAACTAGTAGTAGGTGTGAACTGTTTTATCAATAAAGCTTGGGTGATTAGAACTGTCTGGTTTTTTGCTTCTGAGTCATTAATGCTATTGTAATCACAGAATGCACCTGCATTCTTTCCAAGGTGGATTTTGATTTGCCTGGCTATGTTTTTCTGATAAAAATGCCATCCAAAAGGCAAAGTTGAACTCCTATCAATGGAAACATCTTAAATGCCAGGCATGTATCAATTAGGAAACATATCATTACCATACGTCCACAAGGCTTACAGCCTAGACAAAAGTGAACTCATTTTCTCTTTCTTGTTCTTTTTAAATAATTTCAAGCTGAAAGGACAACTCTTAATTGTTACAGCTAAGAAAACTGAGACCCAGCAAGATGAACTGATTTAATAAAGTCAGCAAGTCATTCAGGGGAAGACCCAAATGGGAACTTTCGTCTCTTGCTTAGTTTCATGGAGTTTCCACCACTCTTTGCTGCCAAAGGCTACTTTCTGGAATCCTCTGAAGCCTTCAAGCATAAAAACATTCCACTACAGGAGAAATTAAGTAGTAAGAGAGGGAAATATCTCCGTATTATAGCCATAGCTGTTACAATGTAATTTGCACTGGAGAAACTGAGTATCTAACCAAAGGAGAAAAATGTATTTTTGAAAAGTAACCACATGCAAATTTGACTCTATCCAAATTATACCACATTTGCTGCTGCAGAAAGTAGAGAATGAAGAATCATTAGACCTATCAGTTTCTTGATAGGAAGGATACTGTCAGCTACTGGAAGACAGGTTCTGCATATATCAACAAAACCAGGGAGCTTGTTAGAAATATATAATGCCATACATTAACACAGACCTACCCAGAATCAGAATTTTCATTTTAACAGGATCCCCAGGGAACCGATATGTTCATTAACGTTTGAGAAGCACTGATCTTCTCAAACATAGCATGGAGGAGATCCTAAAAAACATATTAAACAATCAAAACCCAAATTTAAAGACTTCTTTAGCTAAGTTTATAAAAACAGCAGAACTGATTTATTAGGTGTCACCTTTTCTATTTTCCATCATCAGTCTTTTGTGGAAAATATGCATTTATCCAAATATATATGCATTTATACATATATATGTATACATACACATATATGAGTGGACAGTTGGTAATTACAATATCTTATGAGATACTTTAGAAGAATCTACTTTTGATTAGTATAGTCCTGTGATTGCTCATTGTCCTCTACTACCTTGTCTTGCTCTCTTTTAATCTACCTCCCAGTTCCATTCCACATCTTTTTCTCGGCCTGTCATTCCTCTTACAGATGGTCCTGTCTTTCAGGGTAAGAGGAGGCTTCCAGGGTAAGAGGTAGGGCTCAGTTGTTTGCTCTATTTTGCTTTTTTTCCACAAATGTATGTTTGAATATAGTCCTAGCCCCTACCCTAGTAGGTACTCTCTGAATTTTTGCTTTTTCCTTAGAAGGCTGATTTTCATACCTGAGTGCTATGTGGTAGTGGTAGGTGGTGCTAGAGGGTGAGTGTCACTGTTACTTAAGGCTTGCAGAAGCCAGAAATTACCATCACTAGCTTGAGCATTTCGTCTTAATAATATTCAGTATATGTTTTTTGAATTGACTGATGGGCAAGCAACACCAAGTCATGAATTTTCAGCAATTGCTGTTATCCAGTTGTGATCTTTGTGGTTAAGAGTCTGTGGTGGTTAAATTTATGTGTCAAATTGACTGGGCTAGGGGATTCCCAGATAGCTGATAAAATATTATTTCTGGGTGTGTCTGGGATGATGTTTCCAGAAGAGAGCATTTGAATGGATAGATTGAGTAAAGCAGATGGCCCTCACCAAAGTGGGTGGTGTAATCCAGTCCATTGAAAGCCCAAATAGAACAAAGAGTCAGAGGAAAGATGAATTTTTTCTTTCTTTTGTTGAGAGGGGACATCCATCTTCTCCTGCCCTTGAGAAAGCAGCTTTGGAGCTCCTGGTTCTCAGATTTTTGGACTCTGGGACTTATACTAGCAGGTTCCATCTCGCACCCACTTCTTAGCCCTTTAGACTGAGACCAAATTATACCACTGGCTTTCCTTGTTTTCCAGCTTGTAGATGGCAGATGATGAGACTTCTTGGCCTCCATAATCACATGAGAAATTCTCATAATAAATCTCTCTCCCTCTTATTCTCTCCATGTATCTTATTGGGTCTGTTTTCCCAGAGAACCTTGACTAAATACAGAGGTTCACCTAACTGTGACAGAGAAGAGAAATTATTTCTTCTCTTCTAAGGGATAGTGACATTTTTTTCTGCTGAGCAACAGCTTCGGCATAACAATGGTATGTTGGCTATTAGAATTATTACAAAATTTAGGATCTTCAACTGCAAAGGCTTGGTATGAATTTGAATCTGCACCGATTCTTCTTTTCATATCTTCTTAGCCTATTAAGATTTACACTGAAAAATAAGCAGGTCTGTTGCTTGCAGTTATCCATTTCTCAGGACTTTTACTCGACTTTTTTTTAGCTAGGGAGAAAATTCAAAATACCATTCACATTTTAATTAAATAATTACCGTAGTCTTTATTGAAGTCTTCCTGATTTTTTCTTGTCACTATAAACTTTTCCCTTAATCTGAAACCAGAAACTATATATTTTACTGAGAAAATGTCAAAAGTTTGCAATACTTTTGTAAAGTCTGCCTATTCCTGACTTTGATACTATAAACAGATTTTCCAATAATTCTATTATTATATTATTTTTTGAGACGAGGTTTCACTCTTGTTGCCCAGGCTGGAGTGTGATGGCGCAATCTTGGCTCACTGCAACCTCCCGCCTCCCAGGTTCAAGTGATTCTCCTGTCTTAGCCTCCCAAGTAGCTGGGATTACAGGCGCATGCCACCACGCCCTGCTAATTTTTTTATTTTTAGTAGAGATGGCATTTCACCATACTGGTCAGACTGGTCTTGAATTGCTGACCTCAGTGATCTGCCCACCTCAGCCTCCCAAAGTGCTGGGATTATAGGTGTGAGCCACAGTGCCCAGTCTCATTTTCCAATAATTATTTAAAGCTCTATTAGAATCCTAATACTGTTTCTTGCCAAGTGTTTACAACGGCAACTAGATAGTAAAAGCTTTTTCTAACAGAGTGATATTCTATTTGGGGTATTAAATAGTGATAGTCTATTTGGGGTATTAACCTTCTGGGATAGGTTGGTTTATTGGAAATTATTGCCCTGGCATGCTTACACAATCAATTTTTCTGCTTATTGAAAAATCAATGAGAAGGTTTTTCAGTTGATTTAGAGTTGAGCTCTAATTTATAATAGTTTGGCTATTTAACATTTTTTTGAATGAGCTACTCACCAACTAATCTTTCCTCTTTTTCAGAACTATTATTAGCTGCTTAAATTACCCTACAATTAAATTTCCTTCTTCCATTTAGTTTCTTTTTAACATTAGCTTACCTGCTACCTCCCTAGTCACTGAAGGAGGGAGGTCATATTATTAAAGTTCAGAACAAAGCTCTGCATCTTTTTTTTTTTTTTGAGATGGAGTCTTGCTCTGTTGCCCAGACTGGAGTGCAGTGGTGTGATCTCCACTCACTGCAACCACAGCTTCACAGTTTCAAGCAATTCTCCTGCCTCAGATTCCCTAGTAGCTGGGATTACAGGCATATGCCACCAGGCCCAGCTAATTTTTGTATTTTTAGTAGGAATAGGGTTTCACCATGTTGGCCAGGAAAATCTCAAACTCCTGACCTCAGGTGATCTGCCTGCTTCAGCCTCCCAAAGTGCTGGGATTACAAACATGAGCCACCTTGCCTAGCCAAAGCCCTACATCTTTACCAGCTTGTATAGAAGGACTTTTTTCTCTGGCTTCCTCACTGGATTAAGATTCTTCTGATATTCCAGGTCATGAACTTTTTTAGCAAAAGGCGCCCACAGCTTTTACTGCAAAGTTTATTTCATCGTGAATGACTGGAATTTTCCGCCTTGCTTGTTGAGTGGAGTTCCATTCCAGACTACTTCCTGACTATATAATTTACCAAAGTCTGAAGAATGAAAAAGCCTGGAGATTCAGTGTCAGTCCCAGATAAGTAATTTTCGAATCTATCTTAAAAGATAGCTTATTAAAAATGTTAATTTTTGCTAAAAATTAAGTTGTTCAGTATAAAATACAAATGTGGGTCAGGATGAAATCCAGGCAAATCTGTGAGAAAGATTAGTTTTGAAGTGATCAGCATGCTGCAGAAGTGTATTATGACAAAGCCTCAGAGGTTATATCTCAGCACCTTCACTTTTTTGTCAACCTTTTCTATATAATCCATCTAACACAAATCTTTGTTTAACAAAAAGTGTAGTAACTGTCTAAGGTGTCCTGTTCTCTTGTAATAGGTGAACATATGCATTAAGAAAGCAGTTTCTGGGAGATCCAAGATGGCCAAATAGGAACAGCTCTGGAGTGCAGTGCCCAGTGAGAGCAAAGCAGAGGGTGAGTGATCAGTGCATTTCCAAACGAGGTACCAGGTGCATCTCAATGGGACTGTTTGCACAGTGGGTATAGCCCAAGAAGGGTGAGCCTAGGTAGGGTAGGGTGCTGCCTCACCCAGGAAGTGCAGTCCCCAGAGGACTCCCCCTGCTACACAATGGAGGTCATCTGGGGCTTTTCCATCCACTCCATCACACTGGTTCAGATGCTGCGCTTCTCCTGCAGTTTATACCACCCACAGACGAGGAGATTCCCTGGCTGGAAAGTGCCATGAGTTTCCAGCACGGCTGTTTCAGCCGGTGCCCTGGGTTTCTGCACAAAAACTCACACAAATCTGGGCTCTATTTCAACTGGCACCTGGAATGCCTGGGAGACAGAGTCGCCCACTCAACTGAAAAAGAGAGTGCTGAAAGCAGGGAGCCAGGTAATCTGGATTGGCGGGTCCCACCCCACAATAACCAGCAGTCTGAAACAGTCTGGATTGAGAGTTTCGCAGCAAGCACAGCTGGACATGGGATGGTCCAGCTCTGTGGTGGGAAGGACATCCGCCATTAGCAAGGCAGTCCACCACTATCGAGGCAGTCTGCCATTACCAAGAAGGTCCACCATTACCGAGGCAGTCTGCCATTACCCAGGCAATCTGCCATTACTGAGGCAGTCCGCCATTACTGAGGGAGTTCTAACTGTACCTCTGTAAACAAAACTGCAAGGAAGTTTACACAGCAGCTGGGCAGAGCCTGTGGCAGCTCAGCAACACCTCTGCTGGCAGACTGTGACTAGACTACCTCCTTACTGGGCAGGACATCTCTAAAAAAAGGCAGCAGCATGTCAGGAACTTATAAATAAAGCCCCACCATTCCAGGACAGAACACCTGGGAAAAAAAGGTGGTTATGAGTCCTGCTGCAGCAGACTTAAACATATCTGCCCAGTGCTCTGAATGGAACAATGGAGCTCACAGCACAGCACTTGAGCTCTGATAAGGAATGGACTGTCTCCTCAAGCAGCACCCCAACCCCTGTATATCCAGAGAAGCACCACATAAAGGAGCGCTCTGGCTGACATCTGGCAGGTGCCCTTCTGGGACGAAGATAACAGAAGAAGAAACTGGCAGCAACCCTTACTGTTCTGCAGCCCCCGCCGGTGATTCCCAGGCAAGCAGGGTCTGCAGTTGACCTCCAGCAGTTCTGCAGCAGAGGGGCCTGTTAGAAGGAAAAGTAAAAAACGAAGGAAATAGCTTCAACATCAACCCAAAGGATGTCCACTAAGAGACCTCATCCAAAAGTCACTAACTACAAAAACCATAGGTAGATAAATCCACAATGATGGGAAGAAACCAGCGCAAAAAGGATGAAAACACCAAAAACCAGAACGCCTCTCCTCCTCCAAGGGATCACAACTCCTCACCAGCAACGGAACAAAGCTGGATGGGGAATGAGTCTGATGAGTTTACAGAAACAGGCTTCGGAAGGTGGGTAATAAACTTCTCTGAGCTAAAAGAACACGTGTTAACCCAATGCAAAGAAACTAACAATGTTGAAAAAAGGTTAGATAAAATGCTAACTAGAATAACCAGCTTAGAGAAGAACATAAACGACTCGCTGGAGCTGAAAAACACAGCACGAGACTTTCATGAAGCATACACAAGTTTCAATAGCTGAATTGACCAAGCAGAAGAAAGGATATCAGAGATTGAATGTCAACTCAATGAAATAAAATAAGAAGGCAAGATTAGAGAAAAAAGAGTGAAAAGAAATGAACAAAGCCTCCAAAAATATGGGATTATGTGAAAAGACCTAATCTACGTTTGATAGATGTACCTGAATGTGACGGGGAGAATGAATCCAAGCTGGAAAACACTCTTCAGGATATTATCCAGGAGAACTTCCCCAACCTAGCAAGACAGGCCAACATTCAAGTCCAGGAAATATAGAGAACACCACAAAGATATTCCTCAAGAAGAGCAACCCCGATGCACATAATTGTCAGATTCACCACGGTTGAAATGAAGGAAAAAATGTTAAGGGCAGCCAGAGAGAAAGGGTTACCCACAAAGGGAAGCCCATCAGACTCACAGCGGATCTTGGCAGAAACCCTACAAGCCAGAGGAGAGTGGGGGCCAATCTTCAACATCCTTAAAGAAAAGAACTTTCATTCTAGAATTTCACATCCAGACAAACTAAGCTTCATGGGCGAAGGAGAAATAAAATCCTTTACAGACAAGCAATTGCTGAGAGATTTTGTCACCACCAGGCCTGCCTTACACGAGCTCCTGAAAGAAGCACTAAACATGGAAAGGAACAACCAGTACCAGCCACCCCAAAAATGTACCAAATGGTAAAGACCATCGACACAATAAAGAAACTGTGTCAACTAATGGGCACAACAACCAGCTAGCATCAAAATGGCAGGATCAAATTCACACATAATAATATTAACCTTAAATACAAATGAGCTAAATGCCCCAATCAGAAGACACAGACTGGCAAAATGGATAAAAAGTCAAGACCCATTGGTGTGCTGTGTTCAGGAAACCCATCTCATGTGCAATGACACACATAGGCTCAAAATAAAGGGATGGATGAAGATTTACCAAGCAAATGGAGAGCAAAAAAAAAGCAGGAGTTGCAATCCTAGTCTCTGATAAAATGGACCTTAAACCAACAAAGATCAAAAGAGACAAAGAAGGTCATTACATAATGTTAAAAGGATCAATGCAACAAGAAGAACTAACAATCCTAAATATATACCCACCCAATACAGGAGCATCCAGATACATAAAGCAAGTTCTTAACAACCTACAAAGAGACTTAGACTCCCACACAATAATAGTGGAAGACTTTAACACTCCACTGTCAATATTAGACAGATTGAGACAGAAAAATTAACAAGGATATCCAGGACTTGAACTCAGATCTGGACCAAGCGGATCTAATAGACATCTACAGAACTCTCCACCCCAAATCCACAGAATATACATTCTTCTCAGCACCACATTGCACCTCCTCTAAAATTGACCACATAACTGGAGGTAAATCACTCCTCAGCAAATGCTAAACAACAGAAATCATAACAAAAGTCTCTCAGACCATAGTGCAATCAAATTAGAACTCAGTATTAAGAAACTAAGTTAGGACAGCACAACTTCATGGAAACTGAACAACTGGATCTTGAATGTGGATTGGATAAACAATGAAATGAAGGCAGACATAAGGATGTTCTTCAAACCCAACGAGAATGAAGAAACAATGTACCAGAATCTCTGTGATGCATTCAAAGCAGTGTCTAGAGGGAAATTTATAGCAATAAATGCCCACATGAGAAGGGAGGAAAGATAAAAAATGGAAACCCTATCGTCAAAATTGGAAGAGCTAGAGGAGCAAGATCAAAAAAACTCAAAAGCTAGCAGAAGTCAAGAAATAACTAAGATCAGAGCAGAACTGAAGGAGACAGAGACACAAAAACTCCTTAAAAATCAATAAATCCAGGAGCTGGTTTTTTGAAAAGATCAACAAAATAGACCACTAGCCAGATTAATAAAAAAGAAAAGAGAAGAATCAAATAGATGCAATAAAAAACGATAAAGGGGATATCATCACTGATTCCACAGAAATACAAACTACCATCAGAGATTATTACAAACAACTCTATGCACATAAACCAGTAAACCTGGAAGAAATGGATAAATTCCTGGACACTTGCACCCTCCCAAGCCTATACCAGGAAGAAGTTGAAACCCTGAATAGACCAGTAACAAGGGCTGAAGTTGAGGCAGGAATTAATAGTCTCCCAACCAAAAAAAAGTCGAGGTACAGATGGTTTCATAGTCGAGTTCTACCAGATGTTCAAAGAGGAGCTGGTATCACTCCTTCTGAAACTATTCCA